AGCAGGAAGTTTCACACCCATTGGGCTCCTGCTCTCCTGGAGATTAAGGCGTTTAGGTTGGATGATGGGCATACTGAATAGCTCTCATGTAGGTTTCGCTTGATGGTCAGTCACCTTTCCTTACTCCAGTTTTAGTAAAACATCCAGACTTATTTTTCCTTTCTTTTTGTAACTGGAAAAATCTGGAGTGCCCGCACAACATATGGAAATATATTAATATATAGGTATTTTAAAACTTCTTAATAATCACAGGATATAGGTGACATGTTTTTGTTGACCTGCTTTTTGTTGCCTTCATTATTGTTATTTTTTTTTTTAATGTCCATTTAATCTTGTCATAATCTGGTTGAATTTTCTACCTGGAGTCGCATTAATAGCTGAACCAGCGTTGCTCTTTCGTTGTAGTTGTACTGCTGTTTTTCATTTGTCAGCATGATTCATTAAGCTGAGCCAAATTCACTCTTGATGTAACTTGACCTTAGATGTGTTTTGGCCCCATGTGTTTTCTCTTGCTGGAGTTATTCTTTAAATCTGTGGAACACAAAAAGAAAAGTGTATTGAACTGTCACCCTTAATCAAATTCTCAGCTTTAAATTAGCCATGATTTGGTCCACGGGTCGTATCTTTCAACTGAGGAAATAGTTTAATGTACTAATGCATATAGTGTTCTTGGACAGCAAAGACTGACTTTCTTTTTGGTGTATTCTGTCCCAAGGCTTATAGAACAACTGTTTGAAATCATGTGGAGTAAAAAGATCTAAAACCTGGGGTTAACTAAAAATGCTGTTAGGTGAATATTATTTTTGCAAAATTACCAAATTTGGATGGTTAGATTGATTCAGATCCCATCTAAATCCTATGGGGTTCGTTCCATTGACAACACAGATTTTTTTTCATTTACACACTAACAAACAGTTTTGAATGTTTTCCAGGCAATTATTTACCTCGTGTCACATACTAAAAAGATTAAAAGATGAAAAACACACCAGAATACATTAGTTTTATGTTAAGAAATACATTTTCATGTATATGAAAATATAATCCGGTTTTGTATTAACATTCTTCTTCATATACATGTATATTTGTGTGCATTTATACAAATATGAGAAAATTTATATAAATGTTATATTTTAGGAACTCAGCAATTATATTTGTTAAGCATGTTATTTTGTCCTTTTTCATCTGATCACTATAGACATTCTTATATATTTTATTAATGCATTATATTGCATGTAAGTAGAAACACCTATATAACGGTATTAGTAAGACCACAAAAATATTAAGGACCTTAGTAAGGTTAATTTAGCCATGTTTTCTGGCCAACATGTTTAATACTTGGAGAGCAATGTCCAGGGATGGATTTAGATATGCCTTTAAAACAGAGAGGGAAACGCTGCAGTGCGCTGAAGGTGTTCAGCACTGATACGAAGCCCAGCTGTGCCTGAGAGCAGCTCTGGTACAGGCAGTGCAGCTTCCTGAGGCATAGCTTGGGTCTCGAAAGCACTGCTGCCTTTTCATGTGGTGAATCACTAGTGGGCACCTTTCAAGCGAGGCAATCTTGAAAACACTTCTGAAATTATTACCTGGAATCTTAAGAGTGGGAACACTGCCGGACTACAACAGCAAAATCCCATGCTGGCACAGATGTCGTCTTATTCTGGGAAAATGCGGACAAAGTTGTCTGTTAATTTTCATTTTGTGTCTTTTATTGATATATGCTGTGATAATTGTATTTGCTGGGTGAAGTTGCCACAAAAGAGAGCTTAAAAAAGAAATACAAGCCTAAAGAGACCTCATTACAGTGTAATAGCAAAACGAAATAGTGCAAGGGACATGACCTTGATAAAAAGAACTTTAATACAAAACATGTTGTAATAATAGTACAGTTGAAGGTTTCAGCCCGTTAAAAATACAGTTATTACACCAAGAAGGCCCTAGCACCTTTACCTCAATTCCCTTGCACTCAAGCATTATGCTTCAACAAATGGTTTGATGTAATTGCGCCTACTGAAAACGTATGTATTTGTGTTGATTTTGAAGAGGATACAGAGATGCCTGTCAGATGCTCTAATGTCTTCTTACACACATTACATGTAACAGAGATTAAATTAGGTAGCTGCTTCCGCCCATCAAGAAAAATAACTGAACCTTTTCCCAAATGAGGTCTCTAATTCCTGGTAGATGTTTTCCAGGCCAGTATATGGTACACACATGAAGAGACAGTTACCTTAGCACTTGCAGTGCTATGATTTGTTGGTGAGTGCATCCTAACAGTACAGCCTCCTAAAAGGAGATGTGTGTGTATGTATAAATGAAGACAGAGAAAGAGCTGAAGGAAGGTTCAGCATTCAGAACTTCATTTTTTTCCAAATAATTGTGACTTTAATAGTGGAGAGGTACGTCAAATAGGTTTTCTCAGTGTCATCGTGTTTGGAAGGGAATGAATAAATTAATAATTTCAGAAATGATGGCTTTTGTGTGAGTTATGGTGGCTCTTTTGTTAATTCCTTTTGGTACTGTTGGAGGGGACAGCTGAGAGTCATGGAGGTGAGAATGTGGCAGCCTTTCAAATGTACAGGGTGCTGTGTACATTTGAAAGTACACAACAAACGTGTGTTCTCTGGCAAGCTAAGAGTTGAGAGCAGACATGCTGCCTGCAGCCAGGACAGCATAAAAATACACACCTTTAAGACTGAAGCTTGGGACTGTGTGTGAGCATCCTAAGTTTGATCGGTAAGAGAAAAAATTTACAAATGGGTTGAAATGAAGCCATATAAATCTAGTGTTGAACATGTTTTGTGTAAAGAAATAGCCAAAGCCCAGTGGACCTTCATGAATTGAATTTCTTTAGTACATGAAACATATTGCAAAGAAAAAACCCAGCACCCTTGGTTTAAATATGCCCTCTTGTTGCGTATTGCATTATTGTATAAATCTTGTTGAAAATATAAATCTACTGTATTTTCTGGGAAACACTGAACATGATCGTTAGATATGCTTTATCTAATTAGCCTTAATTTTCTGCCCTCAGGTGTGGTACTGTCATTAATATTTGTCCACATTTTATGGAAACCCATCTAATGCGTTCAATTAGTAGGAAAACTGCATTAGTAGTAAGTACATTGTAGAGATACAGGAAGTTATATTCATGTTGAGTGATTTGACTCAATGTTACTTTCACTTAAAAGGTGATTAAAGAAAGTGGACCTCCTCACATGAAGAGTTTTGTTACGCGAGTTACAGTAGGAGAATTCACTGCAGAAGGAGAAGGCAACAGTAAGAAACTCTCAAAGAAACGTGCCGCAATAGCTGTCCTACAAGAACTTAAGAAACTTCCTCCTCTTCCTGTGATTGAAAAGCCAAAACTTTACTTTAAAAAGCGTCCAAAAACAATATTGAAGGTATGTGTCCACTTTTGGCAGAATTAAGAATGTTTGCTCAGAAGGTAAGAGTTACTCAGACTTAAAATCAATAAAGGCTTACTTCTCGTTTTCTGTCAATATTGTTACTTGTTTGCCTGTGCCAATATGCTTGGGCTTTTTTAAATTCTGAGAATGCTGTGAAATTCTCACACATAATAGCTTGTAAAGTGCTCAGCTTAAGAACTGAGCTCACATCACTCAAGTCTTCAGGGGTTTGGTTCAAGTCTAGTGGAGGATCAGACCCTCCAAGCAGTTCTGTACAGCCATGTGAAGTTTTAGCATTGTCTCCTTTGGGAGGCCCTGCTAACCATATGTGGTGGTTCTCTTCCTGGTCTTTCTTCCCTCCCCAGTTTGAAGAGGGAAAAAGATACGTGAAATAGTGGATATGCAGGGAAATGGTGCACACTCCAGCTTCCTCCCCTTGTGGAGCTGGATTTTGGAGTTTTGTGGCTTCAGCTTCAATTTAATTTTTGAAAATTTTGAAAGAGTATGTTGACATCTCAGCCTAGTGTGTCACTTACCAAGTGGCAAAGGCCAATACGTTTTTTGTTTCATGTGTCTGTGTTAAGGTTAGTATGTGTTTGGAAACAGTTTTTAGCTCTGCAATACTGATACAAAATGCTGAAAATGGGAGACCAACCCATGAATGACTTGCAGAATTTGAACCATCTCTCCATTAAAACATGCCCTGTCTCAGAGGCTATTAATATGCTTCTTGCTGCACTGATGAGGCTTTCTTTAGAGATCTCTTGATTCTTGAGAGCTCAAGCTTCGTAAATGGTGCTTTTATTCTTGGTGACAGTAGATCTATTGCTACTTTTACAATTCAGTCAGTCTGCGGTGACTAGCCCTTGTTCGTCTACTCATCCTAAATTCATACAAAACCAAAGGGTCATCTGAAGTAATTAGTCTTCCAAACAATTTAACGAAAGCAGCCACATAGTGTCCATGTGTTTATGAATCGTCACTACCTAATATCAGTACTGAACAGCTAATCAGATTAACTTGTCATTTGTTCAGTGCAGAAGACAAGGCTTTGGAAGTGGCCGAAATCTGATACATTTATTTCATTTAATTTATGAAGTAGCATTTTGTGAGGAGGTAGTTAAACTCTTTGTACATGATTTCTATTGTGTGGCATGTTGGACAGGCATTTTGGTATATGTAAGGGCACATTAATGAGCCTTCATACTCATTTTAGGTCAATATAAATAACAGTGGAGAGATACTCAGTTTCTCTCTTGTTTTAGAGTCACTTTTTCCCCATACTATGCAGATCAGGAGCCTTGAGACTAGAACTGCAAGAAAAACTAGGAAACCTTCATGTCCAAAACCTGTACTTCAGAATATAGTTTCAGGACCTAAATTTCATCTCTTTTTATGTAATTGCCTCTTGCTAGTTTAAAAAAAAAAAATCTTCAGTTTTTCTGAATTATATTATGTCCATGGCTTGCATGTCCATGGTATAATGGACAGCATTATACCAGCATGGCTTGAACTCAGTCCTCATTGAGTGTTACATTGATAGTTTGTAAAAGTGAGTAAATCAGTACTTACTTTACTAGAAGTATGACCATTAGTAATCTGTATACTCAGTACATGGAGTGCAGAGGAGTGTAGGAGCAGCCAACATAAAAGCCATTTAAAATAAACAAATACTTTGGACAGTGCAAAACTGGGTTGGGAAAATCAACACAAAGACTTACTTAATCATCTTCCTCTGCTTTCAAAACCGAATGAGTGATTTTGCAAAACAAGCTTGGTTAGTTAGATACCTGTCTCCTACTGTAATTCTGGGGATCTAATTCTCAAAAACTTCCAGGAAAAAATGAACATAAAAAATTATTTAATGGAAAACTGTCTGCATTAATGCAGCTTTAAAGCTGCAAGATCTGAAAAGGCTCTTGGCTCTGTCTGTCTCATTTTGAAAGGATTTTCTCAAGAAGGATGCTAAGGATATAATAATGTAAAAATTTACCATTGCAATCTTAAATTGAATTATGCGAAGTTTGCCATAGTAAAAGAGATATTAATAGTCAAAATAACCTGGATATGTAGAAGGTTTTTATTTTTTGAATATCTGAACTTCTGAAATCCTTTCAGTATGTCCATTTCTTTTAAATTAACCTGCATATGTTTTGAGCATCAAAAAACGTGACAACAGCAACATATTTTTATTTGTGTATATATGTTTATGAAGCTATATCTTATTGCCTGCACTTTATTTAGCCTGCTCTGCATTTTGTCTCTGCCTGGCTTCTTGCCCACACAGCTGCCCTTGTGCATGACATTGTCTTAATTCTTTCACCTATATCTTCTCTTAACAACTTCAGCAGTTACACTATGTAGGATTTGCTGCACAGCTTTCTTAATATAATATCCCTCTCTGTTTTTACCTTCAGTTGCTGATCATCTCTTTAGGTTCTGGACCACTTGTTTGTTTTTACTTGAGAAGCTCAAGCAAGCATGAATGCTGATCTTATCCTGCAAATGGCTTCCGGAACAAATAGCTCAATAACATAAAACCAATTCTACTTTCAAATACCTTTTACATTGCAAGTTTCTTCTTTGTGCTATGGTATATAAATTAGTTAAATATGACTTCAGATAATTTTTTTTTGGAGCTGAATGTCTTCTCTGTAAGAACTACAGACGTATTTTCATAGCTATTTGCATTCAGAGAGCATTTGCTGTGTGATTAATAACATACTAAAAGGATTTCAGAACTAGATGTTTTGTAAGGACTGCAGTTTTTCACCTGTCTGTGAAATCTTGGACAGATCATTCTCTCAGTCCTTTTGTTTTCCCCCCATCAGATTAACTCCCCCACCAAGCATACTTTTTGACATGTTATTGTGAGGATTCATCTGTAAAGCATTTGAAATACTTTGTGGGTGGCTCACAATATGCAGCATTTCTAACCATTGGAGTTACTCATCTCTAGCTTCACTACATAACAGTATTGTGAGGGTGAATTCCTATGACACACAAACAGAGCAAACCTTCTACACCTTTAGTTGCATTGTAGGATGGAAGGCAAGAGTGCTGAGAAGGAAGGCAGGAAGGGTGAGAGAGGCAGCTTCCTTGTTAAATGCCAAATCTTTTTAAGTCCCGTTGTAAATCCCACTTCAGCATATGGCATACTCTAGCACTGCAGCAACTTAATTTAAGGTGTTAAGGGGAAAGGTCGTAGAAATAGAGCAATAAGATACAATTGACTGATGAACCTGCTAATTTTCATCCATCCCTATAGGACCTCCATAGATACATGAGGGTATTAGCTTACAGATGCTGGGTATCCACACTACCTGCTACAGTGGCAGACAATAGACGTATAATTTTTGCAATAGCTTTGTGCTCGAGGATTCTTACCTTCTGTCTCAGAACAGATCAGAAGATGGGAAAAAGTTTAGTTCTTATTCTCTCAAAGGCAGTATTGAAGAAGAGGTAACCCTCGTAAATAACTTATTGAAGCAGCATAATAGTCATATGGATATATGCTGAAATAACGGTTCTTTCTTTTAAATCTGTTTTAGACTGGACCAGAATATGGTCAAGGAATGAATCCCATCAGTCGTCTGGCTCAGATCCAACAGGCCAAAAAGGAGAAGGAGCCAGAGTATGTTCTTCTTTCAGAGAGAGGAATGCCTCGCCGTCGAGAGTTTGTTATGCAGGTATCATCTGCCATCATATTAGAGATAATGCCCTTGCTGTGTTATGTTCAAACTCAAGCAAAATGGTGGCATAATATGAAGTGGATCCCTCTGTGTTTTCCTCTTTCTTTGCTTTATGGTCAGTTATATAACAAATACAGTATCAGAAAGCCTGTTTGAATTTGCTTACTCCTCTTGGTGAAACAAATGGCAATTAGGTTATGTGCTTTTTAGATGCTTTTGTTGTAGTGGTTTTGCATTTTTTATACTCCTTATTTTAATTTCACCTGATGGTTTTATTACCTGTCTTTATCTCTGATGGTTCAGGATTTATTTACTTTTGCTTGTCCTTTGGAAAAAAATGGGGTTTTGCTATTGCTGGTCAGAGGATTGCAGTACAGTCAAGTATTCTGAAATAATGGGTATGAATATCTCCATATTACCAAGCATTTCAGTTTTAAAAAGTGTTATAAATATTTTCAGATTTTCAGTTTCTTTGTGGCTTTGTTCATATCTGAAATATCACAAAAGCAGCCTTACATCACATGTTCTAGCCTGTCCAGTTAAAGGCTCTGGACCTAATACAGAAACAGTAGATCATTAATGTTTCTTTAATTTTTAAATGAAGAACATGCACAAAGATTTGGTACAGTCTTGATATTTTGTTAGATAGCACAAGAGCAGGTTGAGAAAGATTAGGAACAGGAAAGAATTCTTTACTCTTGTATTTTCGCTCAGGGGTAGTTTTGTGCTGGAACAATACAGAACAGCATACCTCAACATACTTTGACTTGTTGACTACAAACCACACCAAAATGTCACTTCTGATCACAAGTAGAATTTATGATGTTCCAGCACCTCCTTCTCCAGAAAATTAGTTATGTTTTCACTTAAACCTTTAAGTCCTTCATGTCTATCAAGATAGACCAGCAATCTTAATTTCCTTGGACCTCAGTGGTCTTTCATGATGATTTTATTATGTTTCTCTCCAAAGTGAAATAAGATACTGGGTTCCTTTTGTTGCAGAAACTGATTTATGAATATAAAGTTGGATTTCCAACTTTTTATGCTACCTGAAAGTACTTGCAAAAAGAGTGATCATATCACAGACTATCCCTTTTTCCATGCTTAGGCTCCTGTGGGAGTGTCCACAGATGGAGATGGTTGTGTGAGGCATCAGAAGATGACTGTGCAACGCAGTCCAGTATTAGAAAGATGAGCTGGGGATTTGTTTTGCTGTTGGAGGAGTCTCAATAATGGCAAAATCCTTGGTTTGAATAAAAGGAGAATCTTAAAAGCAGTGAATATGAAGAAGATTCCCCTATCTAAGAAGACTATGGAAGTCAAAGAAATTCCATAGAACAGTTGCTTTGTTATACATACTTTTAGATGCTTTAGCTCCATTTTTTCCCCTTTTGTAATATTTTCACACTGAAATCATACTGCTGTTTCTCCCACCTTCAGGAAGTCTCAGTGAATTCATTATGACATGCAAAGAACCTTATCAGGATAAAAAGCCTTTGTATAAACTACTTAAACAATGTTTTCATTTAATTTAATTGAATGTGGAAGTAAAATATCCAGAGATAATATGTTCATTTTTATCTGTCACACAAAGAGCAAGTTTAGATGTGATGAAATGGATCCAATTACTTGTCCTGACTACTAGATAAACAGAAGAAAACCTCTGATGACATTAGTTGGTGTTCTGTTCCCAAAGTTAATTTCAGAAAGCTCTTTCTCTTTGTAGTCAGACCTTTAATCCTTGATAGAGGTTATAATAATAGCTAAACCAGTTTTACAGGTCTGAGAAATAGCAGCACATTGATTTATTGTGAGCTATGTTATAAATTATCATTTTGTCTTGTCCAATTAAAGTCCCTCAATTTTATTGCCTATAAACTTGTAGCACATAGGCTATTTTCTAATTGTCATTTCGGAACTGCATAGAAGATGAGGTTTATATTTTGAGATTATTAATGTCTCTGGTTTAGGTAGCTGAAGCTGTTTGTATAATTATATATATACTTAGAAGGGATACTCATGATCACTATTATTTACATCCTCTTCTTTGTATTCAGAATTAATAAGTATTTGAGTAAAGAAAAATGAAAACTATAAGGAAAATGTATACATGATAGTTTGAAGAAAGTGAATAATTATTGTATAACACCAATTACTAAATAATGTCTATTATTTATTTAACAAGTGCATGCCTATTTTTACAATATTTTTAAAATTCCTTCCAGACTGTCTTAGGTCTTTGTTCTCCTAAGAAACTCTAAGGTTTCTTTCATTCAGATTACCTTGGCTATTTTGTTATTTTTATTTTATTTTGGTTTCCTTTTTTTAACACACTTTTTTTTTTGAGGTGATACACTGTCTTAAGAGAAAATTTGGTAAATAAAATGGTTTAATGGACAGAGTGAAATATACCTATCCAAGAGCTATGAATATTTCATAAGTGAATAGCAACGACAGCGCTAATATCACAAACAAGACACATACAGATTCAAGAATTTGAAAGGCAAGGAATTAGATATTAGGGAGAAGTTCTTCACTGTGAGAGTGGTGAGGCACTGGCACAGGTTGCCCAGAGAAGCTGTGGCTGCCCCATCCCTGGCAGTGTTCAAGGCCAGGATGAATGGGGCTTGTAGCAACCTCATCTAGTGGAAGGTGTCCCTGCCTGTGGCAGGGGTTTGGAACTGGATTATATTAAGGTCCCTTCCAACCCAAACCATTCTATGATTCTGTGAATAAGCTAGAGCCTCACTCTTTGTGGATATCCAATGTCTATAATTTGCCTTTATTTTAAGATTTTAACTTCTCCTAGTTTTATGAAAGGCATCTTGTTTGTCAAAAACCCTTCGTGCAGTACAGACCACAGGTCCAAGGAGGAGTCTTCTTTCCAAAGACAATTTTGATAAAAGCTTGTCAGGTGTAAGTGCAGAAGAAAGCAGACCCAGCCCCCATGTTCCTTGCAGTGCGACAAAGTGGGAGGAATATGAACATGGTTTTCATCTTTCTTTAGAAACCACTCTCATTTAAATCTCCAGGTCATTGTTTGTCTCTCTGTTGTTCTGGATACTGTCCCGATGATGCGGGGGAGCTGCTACAGGCAACACTTCTACAAGAAAGAGGAAGTACAGATCCTACAGTGCTTCCTTCCTGCATTAAGAGTGGGGGAGTTGTTCAGTGGAAGAATGGGGTTGACACAGGGGCTGGTGGAGGAGAGAGACAACTGTGTGTGCATTGAGAGACATAAAAATGTAGCTCTTTGGCGTATGAGTTTGGGGACCTTCTGAAAAATCTCAACCAGCTTCTCTGTGTGAAGCAGTATTGTAGTGCCCTTTTGCACTATTCTTCAAGATTGCATTTTCAGCAGAAGAGACTGACAGTAGGTCAGCAAGATCATTACATGGTAATATTAAGGAGTCTTGCATTTGTCATGATTATGATCAATGTTTTCTTTTTAAGGTAAAAGTAGGCAATGATATTACTACTGGAACAGGCCCAAACAAGAAAATAGCTAAAAGAAATGCCGCAGAAGCAATGTTGCTACAGCTGGGTTACAAAGCCTCTACTCCTCTTCAAGACCAGCCAGAGAAGGTGAGGATCAGTTGTTACAATGCTCACATTTTACCCTTGTCTTGACTTTTAGCTGACTCAGCTAATCACTTAGTAAGAATGGAAGCTTAAACATGTGCACCTCCTATTTTAAGAGGTTGCTTGTCAGAGATCAGCCTCTGTTTAGCTACAGCTCTATAAGCTACACGTAGTAGTGTACTACTCGAAGGGTAATTACAAACAGAAATATAGTTCCATAAAATAGTCTGTATGCAGAAGTGTACATGTGATATGTATGCCTATTTCTACTTTCAAATCAGGATGAATGTGCCTCTTGCTTTTAATCCATTTTGGACATCCATGAGAGCACTGAGAGGAATGATGTTAGTAATTTTCATACATGAAGCAGCCATAGTAGACAATGTCTTACTCTTGCATCTTCTGTTTCTCTCTTCTTTGAGAGGAGCTGCTTGATGTATGCTAGTCACACTCACCATCACTACATTCTTCACTGTTCTTAACTATACTTAGTCTTCAACAAGTATGCCATTATCTAAGCCGAGTACTTGGAAGCTGGATGGTGTTCCCAATGAGAAGACACTGTGCATTCGTAGCCATTTTAAAAAAGGCTTATGACAGAGTCAAATGATAATTCATTTTCACCAGAATGCTGAGACTTTCTGCTCAAGAAGATACTTTCTACCAGTTTTAATGTTTTCTACATTGCCAGTTGGACCAAAGGGCTTTTTGAAAAACAAAGCAGAAGAGAAAAATCAACTTTTTTTTTTTTTTATATTTTCTTAGTAGGAAACCATAGGTTTTCATTCTTGGATTTCAGACCGGCTGAACTATTTTTACTCACTAATTTTCAGAGATAAAGCCTGAAAAAATTCAGCCCACAACATAGTCGCTTTGGAGAGCTTTACGCAGTGGAAACTTGTGGTTATATTGAAATCCTTAAAAAAAAATGAGTGGCTGCTTCGTTTCCCTGCATTTATTAAACTATTGCTTACAAGTGCATTGTCTTTAAAAAAAAGGTTTAATTACATGTTTGCAGACATAGATGTCTTGGAATTGATAGGAAAGCATAAATGGCCTAGTATTATTCTGAACACAATGAGCAAACATGATGCTGTATCCAAAAAATGTGAACTACTCAAATTTTATGTGGCGGCAGTATTCAAGATCATAGAACAAATTTTTATAGCTTTGTTGGGGTTAAGGACATAAAATATCTAGAACATCTGGCTTTATCTTCTGTATATAATAGACTGAACATATTTGCAGATACTATGCTGGAAAGGAGAGAAAATAGCCTTAGATGTCTACCAATTTGAGCATTGCAAAATTCCTTCCATATAAGTTGCACAATAAAGATGTACTCTTAGAAGATTGTTTCTCTCTTTGAGTCCAGAATGGGCCCCAACATAGATTAGCTGATGTATCAGGTTGGCATCTAAATGGACAATTTTCACTTGTGTTGTTTTTGATGCTTTCAAAAAAGGCAACTTCTCCTTCCCCTGCACCCCCTGCATCCTTTCATCCCCTTCCTTCTTCTCCCTTAAAAGAAAAAAAAAAAGCAGAACCAGAGTCAGAGTTTTTTCCTTAACCTCAGTGCATAAAACATGCCTGTATTAATTGTTTTGCTGAAGACCTAAGAGTGTTACAAGACCCATGCATGGTGCTGATGGCAGCACAGGTAAACAGGTAATCCAGGTAATGTAAAATGTAAAGGCTGTGCTCTTTTCTGAGGTAATCGGATTGCTGGAAGAAATCTGTAATGGTTGTGCAAAGCCCTGAGGAGAGAGAGAAGTTTGAAAGTGCCCTGGGAGGCTTTTTGCAGCAATCAGAACTTCGGTTCAATGTGTGAAAAGGGAGGATTGTAATGTCTTTGCTTTTTCATGCTGCTATCTTTTCGTTTCTTCTTGTCACTTTAATTCTCTTAGGCAGAGTTAAAACAGAATAGGTTGCATTCATGTGAGACAGCAATGCAAGGATAACTAAGTGAATTCTTCCTAAATTCCCCATCACACTGAAGTTAGTAAAAAGAGAGGAATGAGGAGAGTTGGAAATGTACTTCTCATATTGTAGCAGCATGTTTGTGCAGATTTTCCTATCATGTTGTGGATGCACAGTATGGATTCATGAGAAAAACCAGGCTGTTGTAACAGACAGCAGTAAATACAAACAGATAAAGCACTCCATATATAGATAGAGGGAGCCTCACATTCACAAGCCCTTGTCCTCATGGGGGACTTCAACCACCCTGATACCTGTTGGATACACAACAAGATTCCTGGAGGTTCCTGGAATGCATTGATGATAACTTCCTTCTCCAAGTAACAGAGGAGCCAAAAAGAAGAGGTGCCATGCTGGACTTTGTTCTCACCAACAAGGAGAAGCTGGTGGGGAATGTGAAGCTCAAGGGCAGCCTTGGCTGCAGTGATCATGAAATGGTGTTCAAGATCATCAGGGCGGTGGGAAGGCTCCCAGCAAGCTCACTACCCTGGACTTCAGGTGAGCAGACTTTGGCCTCTTCAGGGATCTGCTTGGAAGAGTACCATGGGATAAAGTTCTGAAGAGGGGCTCAAGAAAGGTGCTTTATATTCAATGAATACCTCCTACAAGCTCAGGAGTGATGCATCCCAACGAAGTGGAAGTCAGGCAAAAATGCCAGGAGGCCTGTGTGGATGAGTAAAGAGCTCCTGGACAAACTCCAGCATAAAAAGGAGGCCTGCAAAGGGTGGAAGCAAGCACAGGTAGCCTGGGAAGAATGAAGAGAAATTGGCCCAGCAGCCAGGGATCAGGTTAGGAAAGCTAAAGAATTAAATCTGGCCAGGGATGTCAACGGCAACAAGGAAAGCTGCTGCAGGTACATCAAAGATAAAAGGAAGATTAGGGAAAATGTGGGCCCCCTCCAGAAGGAAGCAGGAGTTGTGGTTACCAGAGACATGGAGAAGGCCAAGATACTCAACAACTTTTTTGCTTCGGTCTTCACTGGCAAGTGCTCCAGCCACACTGCCCAAGTTGCAGAAGGCAAAGGTGGGACTGGGAGAATGAAGAACTGCCTGCAGTAGGCGAAGATCAGGTTTGAGATCATCTAAGAAACCTGAAGGTGCGCAAGTCCATGGGACCTGATGAAATGCATTTACAGGTCCTGAGAAAACAGGCAGTTGAAGCGGCCAAGCCACTATCTATCATATTTGGGAAGTCAGGGCAGCCTGACCTCTTTTTTTTTTTCTGACTGGAAAAGGGGAAATGTAACCTCCATTTTTTAAAAAGTAAAAAAAGGAAGATGTGGGGAACTCCAGGCCAGTCAGTCTCACCTCTGTGCCTGGGAAGATCATGGAGCATATTCTCCTGGAAACTGTGCTAAGGCAGATGGGGGAAAAAAAGAGGTGATTGGTGACAGCCAACATGGCTTCACTAAGGGCAAATGGTGCCTGACAAATTTGGTGGCTCTCTAAAAAGGGGTTACAGTATTGGTGGATAAGAGAAGAGTGACTGACATCATCTACCTGGATTTGTGCAAAGCATTTGACACTGTCTTGCATGACATCCTTGTCTCAAAACTGGAGACACATGGATTTGGCAGCTGGACCGCTTGGTGGATAAGGAATTTTCTGGATGGTCCCACTCAAATTGCAGTTAATGGCTCAAATCTCCAAGTGGAGACCAGTGACAAGTGGCATTCATCGGGTGTCGGTATTGGGACATTTAACATCTTTGTTAGTGACATGGACAGTGGATTAACTGCACCCTCTGCAAGTTTGCTGATGACACCAAGCTGTGTGGCTCGGTTGATACGCTGGAGGGAAGGGATGCCATCCAGAGGGACCTGGACACGCTTGAGAGGTGGGCAAACTTCATGAGGTTCAACAAGGCCAAGTGCAAGGTCCTGCACGTGCGTCAGAGGAATCAGAAGCACAAACACAGGCTGGGCAGAGAATGGATTCAGAGCAGCCCAGAGGAGAAGGACTTGGGGGTGTCGGTCAGTGAGAAGCTCAACATGAGCAGGCAGTGTGCGCTTGCAGCCCAGAAAGCCAACCGTATCCTGGGCTGCATCAAAAGAAGCGTGACCAGCAGGTCAAAGGAGGTGATCCTGCCCCTCTACTCTGCTCTTGTGAGACCTCACTCGGAGTGTTGTGTACAGTTCTGGTGTCCTCAACATAAGAAAGGCATGGACCTGCTGGAGTGAGTCCAGAGGAGGACCACAAAGATGCTCCGAGGGCTGGAGCACCTCTCCTATGAAGACAGGCTGAGAGATTTGGGCTTGTTCAGCTTGGAGAAGTCTCCAGAGAGACCTTAGAGCAGCCTTGCAGTACCTAAAGAGGACCTACAAGAAAGCTTGTAAGGACAGGGACTTTTTACAAGGGTGTGTAAGGATAGGACAAGGGGTAATAGCTTTAAACTGAAAGAGGAGAGAGCTAGGTATTATGAAGAAATTCTTCACTGTGATGGTGGTGAGGCAGTGGAACAGGTTGCCCTGAGAAATTGCAGATGCCCGTCCCTGGCAGTGTTCAGGTCCAGGCTGGATGGGTCTTTGAGCAACCTGGTCTAGTGGATGGCGTCCCTGTTTATGGAAGGGCGCTTGGAGCTACATAATCTTTAAGTTCCCTTCCAATCCAAACCATTCTGTGATATTTATACATTTCATATTGCTTATTCATTTGAAGAACTGTCTTCCATGTTTTCCGATGTTCCTGTTATCTGCTTCATAATACGAAGAAAATGAACTATTTAAAATAAAGTGCCTAGATGTGTGTGACCAGTCTGGAAGCCAGCTCCAATACCTGTCCTCCCTTTCCTCTAAGTATCCAATTTTTTTTGCATGTTTTTAGGCTCTAAGTACATTGAGATGCACATGAATGCGCACATGATGAGGAAAGGCTGGGAACAGCTTGGAATAGCTGCTTTGCATAGTGTGCTCTTCCCTCCTCCCCGGTTAAAACATATCATCTAGTAGTCTACATTACAACATGATAGTAATCTAAATGTCCTTGAGGCAACCGTTGAGATGCAGAAGCAGATTTCAGCCATCTGATCCTCCTTCCTGTCTTCACATCTCTTTCTCTTTCCAATCAACCCTGTCTTTCAGAGCAAATGATTACAACTGTCATGGCACATAGACTGCTTTGCTGTGAGTTTTTCTGTCTGCACACAAAATCCCAGTGAAGTCTGAAAAGGGTCATTTGTTTCACATTCATAGCGCTGATGTTGTCCATAGTCCATGAGGAAGCTTGGACTTTTTTTGTCTACATTTACACAAAAATCTAGAACACTGCCATCTTAATTACTGTGGAGACTTCAGGAGTGGCCCCATTTTTAACTTCTGTGTTAACTGCTTTCCTTTCTGTGTCAGAGTAATACCTGGTGTTAAACATAATATAAATAATTAGAAGGCAATTAAGTTCCTCAAAAAAGTCTATGTATTAAAATAATGGAAAATTGCAATCTTTTTTTGTGTCTACTGCAGCAACTGAAAATATTCCTAGCAAGTAAATATTTTAAAATTACACCCAAAATACTTTGTAGTGTTTATGCATTCTTTCATAGGCAGATATTAGGATCTTCTTATTTTAGAATGTAATTTCTCTCTTGTATGTGTATGTTTTCAGTTGAGAGCTGCTTAAAACATTTGATTTTAAGTCTGATTTGGTAACATACCGAGTTGAGCCTAATCCTTGGGGAAACATTTATGTTTCAGTGTTAGGCAATAGTTGTTAATGTTTATTCATGAAGGGTACATTTCTCAAAGAACCTATTTTAGACAAAAATTAAGATGTCTTAACAAAGTTTTGTGAGCAGATGTGGCAATCCCAAGTCATCCTTTTTAGAATCTTTCAACTAAATTTATGAACATGAATGTTCTGTTTAAGGAGTAGTTTGCTCTTTACTTATTTGTCTTTTTTCTACCTGTTTCAGCTTGGAGAAAACAAGAGTTGGAACGGCCAGAATGTTGGGTTTCCTGAGCCAACAAGTAACAGTAAGCATTGCTTTCTAAATTTATATTTATGCTTACTTCTCTTTGCCTCTGTAGGAATTGGATTGAGACAATTGAAATGCTTTTTGTAAATATTTCAGGGGTTTTATTGCAATTAGATGAAATAACTCTTAAGTGTCCTCTCTGTGAGTGTAGGTACAAATAAGTGCAGGAATAAGGAGATTTTTTTAGTTGTTGAATCCTAAAATCCTCCAGGTTGTAAGGAATTTTTGGAGGTCATCTAAACTGCCCACTCAAAGCGGGGTCAGTACAGAGTTCAGACAAGATTGCTTATGTCTTTTTTTCCAGTTCTCCAAAGACGGAGATTCCGTTGCTTCCCTGGGCAGCCTGTTCCAGTGCTTAATTATCTTCACTTTGATTTGTTTTCCTTTTATCCAAATCATAACATCTTCTGTTTGTTTATGACTGTCATCTCCTGTTCTTCTGCTACGTACCTCAGTAATGTGCCTGGCTCCATCTCTTTGGCAACCTCTTGTGTAGGTATTGGAAGGCTGCTGTCAGGTCCCCCAAAGCATACCACTGTCCTCTAAGTCTGATCATCTGAGCAGATTTTCATCATCTAGTAATTCATCTATCTAGATGCTAACATCACTGCTTGGATACAAAGGTGATGTGGGAGACACGATGTCAAAAGCCTTGCTAAAGCCAAGGTAAATGACATCCACTGTTCTTCATTCATAAATCCAGTCATTTTATCATAAAGATAATCAGGTTGTTGAGGCTGTTTTCTTTCCTGGGTAAACTCATGCTCATTGTTCCCAATGGCTTTTTTTTTTATCCCTCTGTGTGCCCACCAGTGACTTTAAGAGGAACTACTGCATGATTTTCCCAGGGACAAAGTGCCTTTTTTGATGATGATGCCTTTCTCCAGGTGTTGAAGACCTCTCCTGATCTCCATGACCTTTTGTAAGATAACAGAGAGTGGCCTCACAGTAACATAAGCTTGTTGGCTCAGCACACTAAGATATATCCCATTTGGTCCAATGGACTTGTATAGGCTGAAAATTTCTCAAGACATCCCTGACCCTGATCAGGTTCTACTACTGGTAATTCCTCTCTTCCTTGAGCCATGTTGTAGACACAGAGGTCCAAGAGACCTTGGTGAAGACCAAATTCAGTTTTACTGCAAAAGGTAATGAATAGGACACACCTTTGTGACTTTGTAACTAGGTTTTTGCTGTTTAGAGTGGTAAAAATAATATTAATAGTACTTCCTTCACTTTTGCATGAGCACTGGATTCTTCTCGTGAACCATGTTGAGTTTTGAACTTCTTAAGAGTCCTAAACATCATCTCCCACAACTAAGGATTATACTAGAGATGGATACACACATAAGCTGCCTTCCATTTTTTGTGTATGTGAAGGACATAATCCTAAAAGCAGATTTTAAGGGGGTTCAGTGTTGTTCCAGTATATATGCAGACCTTCCAGTCAGACCTGGGGAATATTTCTGCTTCAATTTGCACAAAAGTTTGCTAGTATTTCAAGTATTCTTGGATTCAGCACATGCCATTGTGTTTCCCTGAAAAGAAGGTTTCTACAGGATCTAAGATCTTCTTATTAATTGCTTCCTTCCAGCTCTGCCGTCAATCCCCGTCAGTCCCATTCTAGGTGATTTGTGTTTGTGTTGTCAAAATCTCTAAGGACATGACCTCTGAAACATCTTCAAATCCTAACGTTTTTAAATGTTAACATACTACAGTTTGGGACAGCAGAATAAGATATCTAGCTTTTCTCTCCTATCCCTGCAGTGTCTTGTAGCAAATATATTTATAGATGACATCACAACCATCTACTACACCAACAAGAAAAAACAATCCCTTTCCCAGGCTTCATCTGTCAAGAACACTTTGGCAGTTATACATGTGACTCCAAATCCAGAAGGAAAACACAAAGGCAAACTCACTCAACAGGAGACAAGATCAACAGAAAAATTATTTTAAACCTGTGCTGACCAAAGAACTTATTTTTCACAGATTGACCTGCTCACAGATGTTTTTGCAGCCACCACAGGCAATGGTACAGAAACAGGTTTTCATTCTGGGGTGCTTTTCTAATGCATGAAAGATACTTCTAGTTGCTTTCATTTACATTCTTCTGATCTCCGAGTAAACTGGAAATAGAAGATGTAGCTATCATGTCAGTAGACACAGAGCATTTATTTCTCATAGTCCTTTTCAGACACCACTGTGCTTAAACTTCCAACTCCTTTTTGAGGGTTCCAGTCTAGAGGCAGCATTAATAATAAACAGCTGATGAAAGAGTATGATTTTTCATTTCATAGGGACTCTGCTATTCTTTTGCAAAACAGGAAGGGTGTGAACCCGAAATGTTATCAACAGGCATATATTTTTTTACTGATTTTTTAACTCTTCACCTCTAAAGGGCCTTTTTCTTCTAGGGTATTTTCTTTAAAATTTACAGCTTAGCTACAATTTTCTGATAAAGGCATAAGAGGAGAATGAATTTATTACAGTCATGTAGAAAACAGACCAGTCTTTCTTCACCTTGCAATCTTGTCCAGGATTCATGGAAGACCTAGGAAAGCAGTTTTCTTCTCTAAATGTGTTAATGTGGTATCAGTCCTGGCTGAACAAATCGTGAATAGGTCTTCTTTTTAGTTTCTCATTGAAACCTCTCTTGGTACTTCTAAACTAAAATGGCCTTCCTGATAGAAGTGTGAAGCTGCTGTATCGATTGGCACTCTATTAAAAGTTTCCCTTTGCAGGCAGATACTCTTTATTTGTGTGCGTAATACACTGTGTTTCCATCTGAAACTGTGTGAAACAAAACTGGAATAGTAAAGTGAAGTTGTGTACTTTAATACAGCAAAACCAAAATCATAACAGTTATATATTTTAGTACAGTAGAACAGATTTCATTGTACCCTTATTGAGTGGTTCGGTTTTGCTGAGAAGTATCTTACAGTCAATGCATTTTTAGTATTGCCTATTAAATATCCTTGAAAATTAACTTCTCTTGTTCCCCTCTATCATGTTACTTTTGCAGCTACCTTTGCAGCAAACTTCATTTCTGTTCCTCCTACTCACTGGCAAAGCTCCTTCTGAGAGGTTTACTTCTTTACCTTTCCTCTTCATTTCACAATCTTAAAGAAGGAACAAGAAGCTATTTGTTTCTTGGTTTGGGATATCTTAGACTTTTTTCACATGTGAAATAACAAGAACATTGAGTGAGGGTTTATCTCCCTGATGCTACTGGAAGAGACTTGGAGACACTGTGTGCAGATCACAAGCATCTGCAGCCCATGCAGGAGATGTTTGCTGTGAACAGAATGCTCATTTATCAGTCTGGGATTGACTTAGGCAGTTATGAACAAAAAAACAAAACATGAAACAAATAAACAATCCTAATGCAAAGTGCATTTGGTTGAGAACTTACTTTGGGTTTATATTTCTGGATGGGGTAACACAAACATACAGTATGTCTGCTAGGAGAAGCTGTAGATGAGCTACGAGGAACAAAAATATATAAAAATAAAAAGTAACAATTTTTTTATATATTGTAATACTAAGAGGGAAGAAATGACCCTAACTAGTTTTATATGTTCCCCACCCTGAATTTTCCATAGTACAGTTTTCCTTTATTTCCAGCAATTTGGGTAGTCACAAAGGAAGTATAAAAAAACTAGTAAGAATAAAAAAAATATATTCAGAGCAATCCTACCTCTCTGTAAAGGACAGGCTCTTTGTTTTTCTTGCCTAACATTTTATTACTAGAGATTCATGCATGACTTTACAGTCTTTGTTCTTCAGAGTACATCTGCTCCTGCTGTTTGTTCACCACCTGAAATCATAATCATTTGTTTGTGACATCACAATTAGTTACTGTGAAGATGATTAGATTGTCACCAACAGATGATTATGATTTCAGATGGTAAATGAGCAGCAGGAGCAGATGATCTCCTAAGGAACAGAGACATTTGATCTCATGCAATTGTTCACAGTAAAAAAAAAAGGCATCCTCTGTGATGAGGAAATCTAAACTTTTTTCCATAAATAACATGTATTTTAGTATTTGTTTAAATCTACTTAAATAATAGATTAAGAAATAATAAAAAAATACAGTATTATTATGAGCCCTAGCTGTATGGTTACATTCAAATTCTTACTTAGATGTTGGGAGATGGGAGTTGATAAGAGAAAATAAACACAAAATAAAGACTGTTTATGAAATTTTGCATACTAAATACATCTTCCCTTTGGAGGAAGCAAAATTTATGTGAACTTTATGATTCTGGCCCTCACTAGTTTTAGAAAGACTTTATTTAATAGTCTTCTACATGTTTATTTTTCAACTGAAGATTTTGGTGAAGACTTCCAGTAGATAATTTAATACTCCTGTGTTTCCATGAACAGTAACTGAAGTCTGCAGTTTGGGAATAAAGGTTTTTGCTTGTATTTCAGACATTTTTAATTGACATTTATATGTGTTATGTTTTGCGGAAATATCTAATTCTTTTGGGTGTATTTCAAAGGTGATTTGCAGTGGATTGTAAACATTTTTGCTGACTAAGTAGCGCTGTTTCATTGGACTTCATTTTTGAATTGCTTCCAAACTTACTAAAGTTTGTCAGCTATAATGTACTCTTGCTAGGAGTTAGATTGATACATCACTCTGAATAGAAACCGCAGAAAGAGGGGTTGACACCACCACTTACTTGATGAAGCACAGGCCACAGAACAGTAGCTTTCCAACTGTTCGGTTTGGGTATTTTTGGTTTGGTTGGTGGGTTGGGTTTTTTTTTAGCAAACATACTATCAGGTGAACATTATACCATCACTGTGTGTTCAGGATTCCGTCAGCTGAGCCTCTTGTCTACATTCTGTATAACCTTGACTAGATTCTCTTATAGCAGTTGGTAACACCTTGCCTCTGTGGATTCATCCCATCTTCTAGTGAGGATATGAGATAACTAGAATTTCTTTCTCACTTGAAGACATAGGAAAAATAAATTTAGAAGC